CCCCCCCCCGAATATTTTGCACAGACATCCTCCCCAAAATCAAGATTTTGACAGTACATAACTCGGGCGGAAGACTGGGGCGAGTGAATGCAGAGTGGGCGAGTGAATGCAGAGGGGCGAATGAATAGGGAGGGGGCGAGTGAATAATAGTAGACGTTTCTTGTTTTGTCAGGAAACATCACAGCTCACGTCGACACGGCTTTTGAGTTTTGTAACCGGCCGAGGCGAATGTAAATCATGCAGTCGGGAAAACGTCTTACTTTGAAAGATTATTTTGCAAAACATACTCATACACACAAGAATCATAAAAATACGTACAAATGTTGAATTGTTATTGTCAACTGTCAAGTTCAGTTATTTTTAGACAATATGGTGTTAGCCAATCAGAATGCAAAATTGACTGGCCCAGACCAGGGCTTTCTCGTCTCTCCCCTCGTCCTCTTACGAAAGCCATGGGAACGAGGTTGTTTCAGCCCTTTTAATTGAAAAAACTAACTAGGAAAATCAATTAAGCATAATTCAAGATCTAGATCAGCAAACTTAATTAATGTTTTTATCATTTTAAAACATTTTTATTGTTAAAAACATTCAGTTAACTGATCTTGAATTATGCTTAATTGATTTTCCTAATTAGTTTTTCAATTAAAAGGGTTTAAATGCGCCTTAAAACCATCATTCAAAAGGCTGAACTGTGCCTTTACCGCTTTTGATTCACGATCGATGGCGACGGCGTCTTGTTTTAAATCATGATCGTGAAACTGCATCGAATCGACTCAAGGGAGCACGCCAGAAATTTTTATACTAACCTTTTAATTACATGTAAATGTTTTCAATTTTCATCGGGCGCCATTTTGAATGTTGAAAGCGGTATATATTATTAGCTCATCGCAGGCGCAATAATTTATGTTCATCTTTGACATTAATTTATGTTACACGATGATACTCCGAAGGGCGACCGAGAAAGATCCGAAATTTAAAATAAGGCGGAGAAATAATAAAAAATAAAGAGGGGAGTGAAACGGCCCAACTATTATCCACTGATGCTGGTTGACTGTTGCTAGGAACATTTGATGTTGCTAGGAACAAACCGGAAACAAAATGAGACCTACTATTACGGGAACCACTGAGTATTTTAATATAATATACTGTAGAACAACAAATATAATATAATATACTGTAGAAAATAATTTTTTTTTATTATTTTCGGATTTACCGTTGATTTATATTTGATCTACTATAATTAGTTCAAGCGAGTCACATTAGAATATATTATTAAAATTGGGGACAATGGCGAGAGTTTGTATATCAGATAAACATCGGCTGCTCGTGTTTTAACGTGCTTAAAAGACGACCCATCATATGAGTTCATTGGCGAAGTAATTTTAAAATAAACATTGTCTAAGCCGAGAAAATCGAAGCTGAAGTTTATGTAAATGAGGACAATTTACAAATCTATTATCCAACGATTTACATACATTGATTAAACATTCATTTCTTTTGAATTTCCTTCATGAATTATTAATACTGTATTTTGTGTCCAGCATTCGCAAATGTATTTGTTTCTCCGCTGTCGAAAATTCACTGCTGGCGAGCAACGATGCAAATCAATACAAGTTTTGATATATTTCAGATTCGACAGTTCTTCGGGTCAACGAGCATGGCCAGATAACGAAATTGGATATACGCATTGTCATTGGCCAATACCCCATCACGTGTTCGGCCGTTTCACTCCCCTCTTTATTTTTTATTATTTCTCCGCCTTATTTTAAATTTCGGATCTTTCTCGGTCGCCCTTCGGAGTATCATCGTGTAACATAAATTAATGTCAAAGATGAACATAAATTATTGCGCCTGCGATAAGCTAATACCGCTTTCAACATTCAAAATGGCGGCCGATGAAAATTGAAAACATTTACATGTAATTAAAAGGTTAGTATAAATTTACACAAATATTTCTGGCGTGCTCCCTTGGTCGGAGCTGAACTTTTTAATTCATACTTCTCATCTATCAAAATCCACCATTGACACTGACAATAACTTAGACTCTTTTGATCGATCCCGATACCCAAATATCTGATTTTACCTTAACAATGGAAGAAGTTGCTGCGTGTCTATATAATCTGGATGTCTCTAAGAGGGCCCTGAAGGGGTAAAATGGGAACTGGGATTGATCTATATTTAGACTGGGAAAATGGGATTTGGGTTGCTGGGACTGGGATTTGGCCACTGGGAATGGGAAATGAAGTCCTCAAAAATGGGAATGGGATTGAGGTAATGCGAGTCGATTGCCAATTTTTCTGCGTTTTGAGTATTTTAAAATTCAATTTTGATCCGTTTTTGGTGTCTTTGGTCATGATTTTTGTTGTTAACTATATTATTCACAGCACTACCTGCGAACAGGCATACTCTGGCGCCCGGAATTCTGGGTTTTCTGATTATGCGTGTCTCAGAATGCTGCAAATGCCATTTCCGGGATTCAAATTTAAAAATTTTCCGTGCCTTCGACACGAGCCCCCCCTAATATTTCATAAAGTGTCCGCCACTTGCTTAAAAGGTCTTAAAACTGTTTATTCTACCGATAAATAAAGGGTTTTTTATTGACTGGGATTTCAATAACTAGGATTGGGATTTCTAATAAAAATCCAACTGGGACTGGGATTTTGCCAAAATTTCGGGTGGGAAATGGGATTGGGACCCCCCCTTCAGGACCCTCCTCTAAGGCAAGCGGCCCAGATGGCATTCCAGCAAGAATTCTAAAGGAATGTAGCCACCAAATCGCAATCATTCGCTACGCGAGTCAGTTGAAAATTACAGACCGATTTCCCTCCTGCCTATCGTCAGCAAAGTTTTGGAACGTTGTGTTTCCAGGAGATTCTACGATCACGTCATTCACCTCATCACACCATCACAACATGGTTTTTTTAGAAATCCGCGTTCGTGTATCACTCAGCTTTTCCAAGTTCTTCACTCTGTTGGTCAGTGTCTTGACAAAAACATTCAGTCTGATATAATTTACCTTGACTTTGCCAAAGCTTTTGATTCTGTAGATCATCAAATACTTCTAAGAAAACTCAAGTCATATGGCGTTACAGGGCGTCTTCTCGACTGGTTTCGTGATTATTTAAGCGGTCGCACCCAAAGAGTTGTTGTCGAAGGTGTCCTATCAAGCTGGGTTCCTGTTATCTCCGGCGTGCCACAAGGAAGTATCCTGGGTCCGACACTTTTTGCTGTCTTCATAAACGATCTTCCGGAAGTAACATCCAATGGCTCTTCGGAATCTATGTACGTTGATGATACAAAGTTGTTTAGAAACATCAACTCTACGACTGACGGTGATTGTCTACAAGAATCTCTATCCAACCACGTCACGTGGAGCCATGATAATAACATCAAGTTCAACGCATTGAAATGTAAAGTTTTGAGCGTGGCTCGAAAGAAAAATCCCATGACTTACAACTATCATCTGGGCTCATCATCGTTGCCTCGTGTCCGGAAAGAAAAAGATCTCGGCGTCATCGTGACAGACAATATTCAAATGATAACAGCTAAAGCTAACAAGATGCTTAGTCCCCTAAAGAGAACTTGTCCTTTATTGACGGAAACCAAAACCCGGCGTTCATTATACCTATCGCTTGTAAAGTCGAAATTATGCTATGGTACTGAAATTTGGTCTCCATCCAATGTCTCCCTCAAAGTAAAGATCGAAAGAATACAACGACGCGCGACATGATGGATCCTAAGATCAAGAATAGGTGAGATATCATACCAGGAGAGAGTTCAGACTTTGGACATGCTGCTACTGTGTTATGACAGAGAAATCCAAGACTTGGTCTTCTTTAATAAGGCACTATACGGTTACGTAGACTTAAACATAGGCAATTATGTTAGTTTTGTTAGTCATGATTGTTCTCGACTAACCTGAAATCCTAGTTTATTACTTCAAGTGCCGTTATGTAGAACAACTACATTTAAAAACTCTTATTTTAATCGAAACAGTTCATTTAATATGGAACGTAGTGTGTAGAACTGTATCACCTAATAGCTTCGTGACAATCATTATTTACTTTTAAGAACTTTCTTCGTCGGACTTATTCGTTTTAACGTAATTCAGTTTTTGACGTAGACATGTCATGTACCTGGTCTCTTGTTCGAGACTGCCCATGTCACAGAAACTAAAATAATGTACAGTTCTTTGATTGAAGTATAGCTCGTTTCGTGTACATACCCAAGTCACATGTGTTCGAAACCAAATTAGTTTTATTTTCGGTACAAATTTTCCAAAATCTGCATTTTAGGTATTTGGGAGTTCTTTTGCGGGTATGCGCAAATCGAGCTTTACCTCAACTATAATTTATAGTGTAATGTAATTTTTTTGTAAAGTTTATAAGGGAGGTGCCTCGCATGGGCTTTTTCTGACCGGTTCGCACGTTTCCTTTTGGGTAATACCTATTTATCATAATTGTTAGTATTCCCAATAAAGCTATAAAGTGAGGTCCACCCTTGGATGCTTGGATCATAGCCATGCGCCCACGATATTTGATGAACTTTAGACTTCGCTAGTGCGTTCCTTTCGCCGAGTGTAAATAGCCGGGCGGAATTAGTACCCTCGCCTCGGGGATGAAAAAATTCAATTTCAAACCCAAAATAAATGTTTTCGCAGAAAAGTATCTATTTCTGTTAGTAGTCGTTATACTTCAAAACTATAATGCGGATTAATTGTGCACTTACATTTCTAACAAATCGTGAAGGCGAAAGCCACGTATTCGATCAACACCAGAAAGCTCTTCTAAAGTTATTGGATTACGAAGTATAATTTCCTTCACTAAATCACTGATTCCGCTAAGAAATGGTGTATCTCTTTCTGATATTACTTTGCTGATACTTTTGTACTTTATAATCGTTACAAATGCTGGGAACTGCAGTCCTCTGATACTTCTTAGTTGGTCCAAAGTTAAACCTAAAAATAGTAAAAGAGCCCGTTGTGTATACATTTCCTATTTAATCTTATACTTGACCATATAATTGTCAGAATGCTGTCAATTCCTCTCAAATGGAATTTTTTTCAAGAGTTATATGGTGGCTTCATGTAGTTTTAAAAAATGGTGAATTGAAGATTTAGACCTACATATTTTAATTTTGAATTAACTACATTCAATCTCGTTCCCAGAGCAGTTAGGGTTGTGCATATATAGTATTATAAATATTTCGCCAAACACGCGCGTGCGATTTTTCATCAATATTTCTCGAACCGTGTAATTTCCTATGGTAGACCAAACAGCCATTACACTACACAACTTTTGCCTAAATTAAAACTGTCGCGTGCCGATCCTGCTACACAACACACCTACGACAACGCAGGCGAGCTGTGTGCATTTGATTTACACTGATTATAGTATACAACTCAAATTAATTGTTAGCAGGTTGCATGCGACAATTTTATGCAAAAGTTGACATTAAGTTGTGTGGTGTAAATCGGCCTTTAGAAAGTCATCCTCGTTCTCAGGGCTTCTGACTGCATGCCTGGACTCAATATTGTGTTTTAATAATTGGGTATTAATATCAAGAATGTTCTAATTTCGAAACAGAAATATTCTCATTCGCATTGCTGTTTATTTTGACAAACGACATGACTCTTGACATGACTCTATTGTCCACAATTGTTTCTATAACAGAGACGGAAGCTCGTTTGAGTTTTTTACAGCCAGGTGGGCATGACTCAAGGGGGCGTTTTACCAAATGACAAGCCATGCAGGTAGGCGTTTATTTTTCCAGCCAAAACAACCCAAATATATGCCTGCCAGCAGGCTATACTTTCAAACAATTGTATATACTTACTTCTGAGTTTTTTGTGTATCCATTCTTCTGTAGAATCTTCATATGTTACACATACGTTTCCCTCTTGGTATTTTAAATCCATGAAATCGTTAGGCAAGTAGTGTGTCCCCAGCATATACCGAGTTTGATTCACATAGTACGCAGTATATTTATATTCATAGCCCTGTTCTTGCCATTCAGACCAATATTTATCGAGAAAAGTATGATGCAGGAAGAACTCCGGCGCCCAAATTGAATATATGAAACTCATTGTACTGTTCGGCCCAAACGCTCTGCCGTGTATATTATTGTGATAACCAATTAAAACGGCCAGCATTTTGTGAAGATCGTCCGGTTTCAATTTTAACATAATTGCAAGATGTAAAGCGCTTGGTATTCCAGCATAGGGGTACGAGTAACCGAGATCTCTTCTCAATTGTAAGTCACCAAATGGGCCATCACCAGGAACCATCTTCCATTCCGGCTCTTTAAATGGACCAGCAATTACTGTATTATTAACACCATTTCCGTTTCCGCCAAATGACCAATCATTGTCATCCCAAATATCATTATCAAACGGATTGGCCATCACCGCGCTCCAATCCCAATACACCAATGTAACGTTCGGAACAATTTCTCTAAGAAGATTTTCATATTGCAGAATATACCAACGGTGCCAAGGTAGGAAGTTCACTTTACAATGAATTTCTACACAGAAATGAAGCTGGTGAAATGCTGCCAAATCGTAAAACTTTTTACTGGTACGTGGGTCACTTCTCACAGCTTTTACTGCATAGATGTATTGACGTCTTTCCTCTTTGGTTAAACGCATGAATTCTCTACGTATACGGTGCTTGCATGGAGATGTGGCTGTTAAATCGATAATGATAAATTATAGTTGGTTATTTTAAACAGAATTAGCCGGCAGAGCTTTGACCGCATTTGGGGCAGAGCTTGCAGTGTGAAGCTAGAAATAGGGCCAGTCATGCAAGTAGTAGTGAAAGACCCCACTATAGCAACGGAAGTAATTAGTATGCACAATATGGGGACGGAAGTAATTAGTATGGAAGTGTAGTATGCAAAATCTATGACGTCACTTTGTTCAGCTAATACTCTTGGCGGAATTTATAATGAGCTTGCAAAATCTATAACGCCAGTAGCGCGACCAATTAACGCGGGCAGGCCTGGGCCAAATGTGGCAGTTTACTATTATTAGCGAGTGCAGTGATTTGCCATTGCGAATAATATAGCACACTGCTTGTATTACTTTAAACGATGGTTTTACAAGGGTATTTTCAAAACGTATAGTTTCATTGATAGAAATATAAATATTGTGATGGCAGCGTTGTCAGGTAATCCCCACACGTAAAACACAAAGGTTGAAGTAATTAAGAGGATTAAGCCGATACGAATTTGCATAACCAATAGGATCCTAATGGATATATATCGATATTATTACGGGCGGCCGTGGACGTGTTCAGGTGAGCAGTCAATACTTTCGCTGAGCTCAGCAATTTTTCGTGCCCCACGCCATCAAATGAAGATTGGCTTACTATGCGTTGCTGCTAGGTATAGAAACATCTTGAGATATGTCCGTATTTTTTGATAAATTTTAAAACATTTGATCCAAGCACAATCTTTTATCGAATTGAGAGTCATGAACTACAATGTATCTTGACCTATTTGTCGTATTAAGATCAAGAAAAGTTGTTTGCTGCAGCATTATTTACCAAACCTCATAGATATAAGGAAGCTTATCAAGAATATAAGTTAAATTGGAACAGTTGTAATATATTTTGCGATAAAAACATGTAGTCGTTATATACGTTGTTATGTGTTGCTAAGTCATTAGCGACGCTTGGGCGCATGCATATATTAACGTACAACATATTTGTACACTTATCAGGCGGGCAGATCGCGCGGGCGGAAGAGCGGGCTTTACAGGTAAAAGCTTACACAAGATTTCAGTCTTAAAATACATTTATTTCTTCAAAACGTTTTACAAAATTTAGTACGCTCTACTTCTGAGAGCGTAACGTCTAGGTGTTTCTGTCATTTTTATGCTTCTAATCGTCACTTGTTTGAGATGTTTCGCTTTCAGATTCATCATCGTGGCTGCTTTCATCATCGCAGTCGCTTTCATCTTTCGTAATTCATTTGGGATGTCTTTGATCTTCTTCCAGTTTTTGCTTCTTGACTGATGACAGGTTGCTGCGGTGACTTCGCCTCCTTTTGCTTCCATGTCCCGTTTGACGCAGAAGAGTCCTTGCTCTTTGCTCAACAAAGTCTTTAACAAATTTCCCTCTGTGAGTCTTTACAGATTCTCTTACATTTTTTCCTTGGAGTACATCTTGACCAACTTCTGTGGCTGCTTGTAATGCTCTTTTACCAACAGCTTTAGCTCCTTGTTTGAAAAGGAAGATAGCATATCTCGCAAGGCTCTTGAAAATACTTCCGATCCCATATCCCTTTGCACACGTGCACCATAAAACCCAGCGACCACGCTCCTGTCTCAAGAAATGGTCTTTCAATAGTTTTGTATCTACAACAAGGGTACCTCTCACCATGTTGATGTGTTCAGTTCAAATTCACACAGCAAACTGATCAAATATTACTTTGTTCGCCTATTTTATGGTCAATAAATGTTTTTTATCAGTACTAACATACATAATTTCATCACAATGACAATGTTGGCAACAGGCGATTACATGCGTGAAATTTCCTTCGGACAGTCGAAAATCACAGATCGTACAGTGACACCTCTTACAATTTGGATAAAAATCTGTCCATGTGCATATGGGACATGTGGCCAAATGGGAGATGTCTAAATCTTTGTTACAACCGTTACAAACTGTGTCCATATCTTCAGACTCATCGTCGGATTTGTCAGACTGTATATCCTGGTAGGACCACTTGAGGGCTAGCATTGTAAGGACACGTCCATTTACGATTAGGCTTTTATCAATATCCAATTTTGCAAGACCTTTGAGAAATATATTCAGTCCAGCTGGTTCCAGAATTTCAGTATTATATGGTAAAACAGTATATTGCAAAAGATCTACAATATTTGTTCCACGTATATTCTGTCCTTTGTATACAATTTCCCCTTGAAGATTCCATGTGAGAATATCCGTGGATGTGAGAATGGAGTGAAGAAGTTCTTCCGCAATGTTTTTATCAACATTATCGTTTAAGTATCCAAGTATATCTTCAACACGCCAATGTCTCGGAGATGATCTTTCCTTGCTGTCCATGGTTGGAATGCCAATGTGAATTAATAATGGTTATTTTATACTAATTCTGCAAGGCCCTCTAAAAGTGGCGCAAGTACCAATCCTAGAAAACCACTCCCGCGCTGAACAAGAATTTTCCTTTTTTTTATAAAACTCTTACTTCTGTCAGCTAAATCAGCGAGATCTTCTTTATATGGTCCACGTTTGTTCAATGTTCCTTTAGGATATGTAAAGTTTTCCAAGCAATTACATAGAAATCGAATCTGTTCATGAGATGCAGAATTCAACAGAGCTTGCTGTTGAATTGGATGAGAAGTACACAAGAGCTCCACAAACGGTCTGTGTTTGATATAACTGCTGGTCATCTCTGTTCGGCGGTCAGCAACGGAATGAAGATTTAGTTGAGAATGACGCATATATAAGGGTCGGCTCGCCCTCTACAGACTAGGTCTAGACTATAGTCTTAATCGGGGTTTTTTTACTATAGTCTTCGTAGTCAGGACTATAGTCTTTCATAGTCATTACTATAGTCTTTATAGGCTTATTATAGTCTTTCGTAGTCTTTAATGTAGTCTTTATAGGCTTTACTGTAGTCTTTATAGGCTTTACTATAGTCTTTATAGGCTTTACTATAGTCTTTATAGTCTTTACTATAGTCTTCATAGTCAGGACTATAGTCTTTCATAGTTAGGACTATAGTCTTTTATGGTCATGACTATAGTCTTTCATAGTCTTTACTACAGTCTTTATAGTCTTTACTATAGTCAGGACTATAGTCTTTCATAGTCTTTAATGTAGTCTTCATAGTCAGGACTATATAATCTTTGAAAGTCTTTACTATAGTCTTCATAGTCAGGGCTATAGTCTTTATAGTCACGACTATAGTCTTCATAATCAAGACTATAGTCGTTCATAGACTTCACTGTAGTCTTAATGACTATAGCAAACGGGATAAATATACCTCTTCACCCTTGCTTTAAGTTATTTCACTCTGACTGTTGCGAAGTAAACATGTCTTATGAATGCGACATCTGTGGTAAAACGTTTGCAAATGCAAGTAATCTCCTTCGCCACAAGAAGGTTGTTCATGCATATGGAACTCGTAATCTTGGGCAACAAACTCTTACGGTGAATGGAGTTACAATTTTGGAACACACATTTACTTGCATTGTAGCTGGGTGTACACAAAGCAGCAAAACCGTATGGTTAAAATCTCTCTTGGAGAATGCTCAGAAGACCATACGTCCTGCTCCTCAACGTATCATTTGGTGTTATGGTCAATGGCAACCCTCCTATTTTGATATGATGCGGACGAATCTGGAATCAAGTTCAATAAAGGTATTCCCGACGATATCGACAACGCAGATTACTTGGATGTATCGCAACGGAGTTTGATCGTATTGGATGATCTCATGGTACAATCTAGCAAGGATAAACGTATTGCTGATCTTTTTACGAAAGGAAGTCATCATCGAAATTTGTCTATCATTTATATTGTTCAAAATATATTCCATTAAGGCAAAGAAATGAGAAATATCAGTCTAAACGCGCATTATATCATGCTGTTCAAGTCACCAAGAGATAAACAGCAAATTTCTATGCTTGCAAGGCAAATAAATCCCGAAAAAGTACAAGAATTTATGAAGAGTTATGAAGATGCCACGAGCCGCCCTCACGGGTACTTAATGTTGGATTTAAAACCAACAACGAGTGATGAAGATCGACTTAAGACGAATATACTTCCAGGTGAGATTGCAAGGTTTATACAAAAACAATCGTATCGTCAACCACCGTTTCTAAATGCCATGTATGATGCCGAGTAGCGAATGATAGAAATCATGGATGCACCACAACTTAGCGCTGTGGAAAAAAGCAAATTATATTCAGATCAACTAAACCGATTTCTCACATTCAAAAATAAGATGGATGTCCCGGCTCAAGCCCCTGTTCAAACATCACCGTTAATGCCTGCAGAGATACCACCACAAGTGCCATCTACGCCTGTACCAGCGAAAATACCACCACCAGTGCCTGCTACTCCTAAACCTAATTTCCTTACGCCACCACCAACAGAAGAGGAACGACCAAAACTGAAGCGCAACTTTTTCTACAATTGGGTAGACTCTGCTGATTGGAAAGAAAGTGACTTGGCTATGAGAGGATTATGAACGTTTTTTACTAAACGAAAGACCGAAATATATTCCAATGAAGCATGAAGATGTTGCAAGACTATGACCTGAGGATAGACAAGAATATGACAACTCTTTAAAAATAACAAAAACACCTAGACGTTACGCTCTTAGAATATTAGCAAGCCCGTCAAAAATGGATTGTTGTGTGATACGGCCGATTCGTTTACTTCCCACAACAAAGGTCCGCCTTTCCATCGACTGTTCCTGCCAGGGATCCTGTTTTTCCCGTTGGTGTCAACCCAAGTATGAAGGTCTAGCTCGATCACATCGATAAACACGAGGTCCGCCATCTTGGATTTCGCAACTTCAGCCTCGGAATTCTTATCCCGGCTTTTCGGTCCCATTTAATCTTGCCTGCATGGCAGGCTGTCTTTAAAATCGAGCAAGTCTGGGAAAGAGCCCGCGCTCCTTCCTGTGTCGTTGAACGTAGTTTCTCTTATCGTTTCAGCTCAGTTTAAGGACCTCGACAGTTTAGTGAGTGACTCCAGCGATAATAATACTCCTGCTTTCTGGTCATTGGACGACAAATTGATGCTTTGTCCACTCCGGAAACGAACAGGGACCATCTCTATTACTTTCTGGATCGAAGCGTTTACCGTGTATATGTTGGTGCTGACAACCTACCACCCGCATCGTATTGTTGACCTTCTTCTTTACGGTTGCTGATCATGCGCACGGCTCTGCTGTTTCCTGGACTCGGGTGACGCAATTATGATCACTCTTTCCGCCGTAATCCTGCTGCTCGCAACCTGCACGACTGGTCGGCGTTAAACACGGAGTTGTTCAATTTCCACATCGCGTCGCCCCAGTCTCGGAATGTTACCGTTGCTACGCCCGCTTCCTCCGTCGTCTGCCCTCCGTTTGCTCGACGCACAACTATCCAAGCTGAAGCCAGTGGTCCAGAGAACAGTCCCATCTTATGTCCTTCGTGGAATTCTGGGTTGTGCTCCATTGCTTTTTCAGTGTGTCGCTTTTAGCACTCGTGCGATTGTCCTGGTGTCGTCGACCTCATCGCCGCATTGATGCCGATACTTGTTGTGTAGCTTTGCCCTTGGATCGTTCCATGTCTCGGCGGTCTCCACCACGACGGTCACCGACAGGTACGCGCTCCTAACGTCGCTAGTTCCAGTAATAGGTCTACCGAGGCATGTGACTTTTGTCCGGTTTATCTCGTGTTCGGGTATCCATCACCACTCCTTCCCAGGTATCGTATTCTGACGTCGCTATTTCGAGTAACGTTTCACTTTCGTCACCGGACTTCACCGTCGCTGTATTTCTCCTGTTTTCGTTTCGTCGCCACTCGCTTTGTCGAGTAACGCTATCCTTTGTCACCAGTCTCCACCCATTCGGGGGTAACGCTATTTATTACCACGTATTTTTCGCCACGTCGCCACTCGATTTGTCGAGAAACGCTTTCCTCGTCAACAATCGCCACCCATTCGGGGGTAACGCTAACTTACAACGTGTTTTGTTCCATCCCCACTCGCTTTGTCGAGTAACGTTTTTCCTTCGCCAACGTTCGCCATCCATTCGTGGGTACCGCTATTTTTTACCGCGTATTTTTCGCTCAGTCGCCACTCGATTTGTCGAGTAACGCTTTTCGTCGTCACCATTCGCCACACCATTCGCCACCCATGTCGAGTAACGGGTAACGCTATTTATTACCACGTATTTTCGCCACGTCGCCACTCGATTTGTTGAGTAACGCTTTCCTTCGTCAACAATCGCCACCCATTCGGGGGTAACGCTATCTTACAAGGTATTTCGTGCCGTCCCCACTCGCTTTGTCGAGTAACGTTTTCCTTCGTTAACGTTCTCCACCCATTCGTGGGCAACGCATTAACACGTAGTCGCTTCGTCGCCATTCGCATTGTCGAGTAACGTTCCATAGTCGTCAACGGTCGCCACCCATTTAGGGGTGCTACTATCTTAACACGTAAGTCGTTACGTCGCCACTCGCTATGTCGAGTGACGTTGTCCTTCGTTAACGATCGCCACCCAAAACGATTGTTAGTCGCTTTGCCCTGCCCTAGGATTATCATCCGCTCCTGTTGGCTCCGTGTTGACTCTGTTGGTCCACTCAGAATTTCGTCGCGAGCTCGCTACTCACCCCGATCAGACTCGGGTCAACTACGTTTGTAAATGGCTTCCACGGCGCAGGTGAGGAAAGATCCAAAATAAGACGCCATTTATCCGGTTGATTTTTCTTGGTTATAACTCCAAATGGACGACAGTGGAGATTCGACATTGGTGGCGAGGCGAAACTATTCAGTATTGGTCTACCACGACTGGGTGCTCACTCGCAGACTTTAGAGTCCGCGTAGAAGAGCGTAACAAGGCAGCTCACAGCGTCAATGATTGGATTCCCCGTGCTCCATATTCGTTACACTACATTAGTGTCCCCACGGCGATACATGCCCTCTTTGGGTTAGGTCTTGGGGCACAGGGGGTTAAATTCGACGTTGGCTATGTTCGACGTACTGGGGCACATTAAGTTCAGGCGGAGCGATGTGATTGCAAATAAGCTTTCTTCCCGTCTTGATCTTCCTCTTCACACTTCGAAACGGTATTGGAACTGCCACAGTCTTAGTCTTCCTTGGCATCGAACTAGACGGTGTCGAGAAACTTGCTCATCTCCCGTCTGAGATATTTCCTTCTACGCCTCAAAATCTTCACGATTGAGAACAGAGGCGGTGGGTCGTCGTCAGAAGCTAGAGTCCGTTATTGGCCTTTTTCATCATTTTTGCCAGATTATTGCTCCTGACAGGGCGTTTTCTACGTCGAATGATTTACTTGCTCTGTTATTTCCGCAATCCTGCTCACCCAGTTCGCTTAAATATGGAATTTCACCAGGATCTTTCGTAGTGATTGGAATTCTTTCCTTCCTGAGCTGAGGTCAGCTCTTATCGCATGTCGAATATGGTGCCGTTGCCCGATTTTTTTTTGTTTCGTCAGCTGCAGCGGCATCCTTGGGTTTTGGCTCTTGGCCGGCGTCTTTGCCGGTCGCAACATCACAGTGTTTGGACTCTTCCCTCTCGTCGTCGCCGCGCATGTTTGGGGGCACTTGTGGTTGCGCCTACAGATCGAGTTCCACTGCGATAATTCCGCTGTTGTGGCCATCCTCATCTCGGGTTCTTCTCGGGACCCGTTCGGGATACTCCTCCTTCGCCTTTTAACTACGATCGCGTGACCATTGTCGTTCTCTGCGCGTCATGTTCCCGGTTGTCAGAACGCAGCGCCTGATGCGTTGTCTCGTTTCAATTTCCAAGTCCTTCGACGCCTCCATTTATCAGCCAATGCCACTCTCACACCATTCCCGTCGACGTCCTCCGTACTGCATCGCTTGCTCTGTATAAGCTAGAGAACACCTATTGTTATTATTTGGCGCATGGTTTAGCCGCGAGCTCTCCTCGTATTTTATTCCGCCGGTCAGGGTAAGTTTTTGGCACTTCGTGACGTACGTGTTCCCCTCGCTCTTTCCGTCTTCCAACCCACTTTGGAGTACCAACTAATGATGTTCGCGTCATGGCTAGCCCGTTCCTTACCTCCTCGACGCTACTCATTTGCGTGGCGTAATAAAAGGAAGTCAGCGTGCTGACGTGGTCTCCCGTTCGCGGCGCCATCCCATTACTCACAACACCCTATCTTCTCGCTATCGTTTTCGTCCCTCCATTCATCTGGCTTGTCGTATGACACCTTGGGGTTTTGGTCTGCCTGCTGGCTTGCTTTCTATGTTTTTTTGCGTGTTCGCGAGTTCTCGTCATCCGTTCCCTTAGCTTCAATCCCAACCGCGATTTAATTTTAGCTAATATCCAGTTTCTGCTGTCATCCTCCGTCGCAAACTGCACATATGAACTAAGCAGTCGAAAACAGACCCCTTCGGGCAAGGATGTTATCTCTACCTGGCAAGGACCTCTCGCGCTGCTTGTCCTGTTGCCACCTTGCCTACACACCTCTCCGCGGTTCATCTCCAGGGCCGCATCTTCTCTGGTCAGATAGCTCTCCCTTAACAGCACCTCAGGTGAACGTCTACCTCCGCGATCTCCTCTCGGGTGCAGGCGTCTCCGGTTATTTTTCCGGAGCAGCACTACCAGGGACTGTCGGATCGCCTAATTTAGGCTTTCGGACGCTGGTCCAACGCTGCTTATCTCCAATCTATCCGCACTTAACCGGACACTCTCGCGAACGCTGTGGCGAACTTGTAAGCGGTTGGAGATTTTTATTTTGGAAGAGGTACCAATGGTAACCTTACTCCAACCCCTTACCGTCGTAGGAGAATATAATTGGAAGAGGTTCCATTGGTTGAGGAAGTATCCATGATTTCTCGCCTGGTTATGGGGGCTAAGATAATCCAGTCGCACCATAACCTGGAACCGAATCTATCCCCACCGATCGGCAGCGGGCATAATTATATAGTATTGTAATTAGTATAAGAATGAGACACGTTACTAGTTGTTATCAGCGTCAAATGTTAAATGGGTTTTATAACATAAAAGCAAGTTAACAGTATGGGCGGATTCGCTCCGTTGATCGATTGTTGTGTCGGCGATTTGTCCGGGGCAGATTCCCGGTAACCCAGCGTATTAAATAGCTAGTGAACTAGAAGCCAGCCTTTCAGTTGCTTTCAACGTTTTTCCCACCCACCCTTTCCCTCAAAAAAATGTCTTCTCGCTTCTGTTGGCTGCACGAGCTTTTTCAGGTCTTCCCCTACACTTCCCACTTTGGTTATAGTGCTCTGGAACTGCTTCCGGGTTGGTAGGGGTTATTCGGTGTATGCGAATTGTGCGGGTCAGGTTTGGGGACCTTTGGGGAGCAACTTGGTTAGTAAGTAGAGAACTCTTCCCTGTGCAGACAGGTTGACTTGTCATCAATGGGGATGGAAGAGGTTCCATTGGTTGAGGAAGTATCCATGATTCCTCGCCTGGTTATGGGGGCTAAGATAATCCAGTCCCACCATAACCTGGAACCGAATCTATCCCCACTGATCGGCAGCGGGCATAATTATATAGTATTGTAATTAGTATAAGGATGAGACACGTTACTAGTTGTTATCAGCGTCAAATGTTTTTTACCTTAAATTGAGGTTTATATTACGTATAATAACATACCTAACATATATGTTGGGAAATTGATAATTTTGTAATTAAAAGCATAGGCAGCCCAAAAATGCGTGTTGAAATTTTTACCCTCGCGCGTGGCGCTCGGGCATGCATCGAGTCTACTCAGTTTATTATTATTATTATTATTATTATTATTATTATTATTATTATTATTATTATTATTATTATTATTATTATTATTATTATTATTATTAGTCATAATAATAAACTGAGTGGACTCGATGCATGCCCGAGCGCCACGCGCGAGGGTGAAAATTTCAACACGCATTTTTGTGCTGCCTATGATTAAAAGTGATATTTTTAGGCGATTTTTCATTTGTAAGAATATTCTTAAAAAATTATCGTTTACCATGACAACTACTTTCGATACTTCATGTTCGGAAAATAGAGTGGTTTTGTCAGCAAGGCGAGGGTTTCTGCATGTATGTATTTTCTAGTATAATAATACAGTTAATCAGCCAAAGATTTTAGCGACCCTATTCAGTCCAACACTCTTTACTCCATAATGAAACAAATGGTATTTATATTTGCAATAAAAACGTGACTGAATATAATGATTCTGATTTTAAGCTATATATAATTACCTTCAAGTCGAAATATGTTTCCCAGATATTCTCGACTGCGAATTTTGAAAGCTTTTATTCCTTCACATTTGCATTCTGCGCGGCCAGGGCATCCTATATATAGGACAAAGACGGCAAATTTGACACGTTATAACTTTAATAATACTATATTAGTAATATTAGTTGTTTGAAAGATATATAATGTAACGTGTATACACTTTAAAATTAAAAACCGTTAAGCTTTAATGAATCTATACTTGGTGTAAAAAATTCAGCGCGCTGATTATAATAAAAGTTTGGAGTCTTTTGATATTTTGATTAATTCGACAAAGGTAAAAAAAAAACTGTCGAAAATTTACAGTTTCAAAAGCTCGTCTTGTTGTAATTCAAATCTTGAATTTGAAGATAATGTTGATTGCGGTATTTTTAGTATAATACGGCCCCATGCAACAGGATTTTTTCGCTTGTATATTGGTAACATGTAGTCGCTTCACTAATCCTAAGACAAGTCTAAAATAAATTGTTTAATGGCACAAAAACAGCATTTTCATACATGTTGGGTTTTGAACTAGATATTTCTTCACATTTTCTGAAGTAAACAGCGCATGCGTGTTGCTTTTCCTGCTCTGCCGGAACAACTCGGCAAAAAGCAATTATATATAGTGGCCATGGAGAAAATGCGAAATTTAACCACGGCGGCATTTATAAGCCGCTAAACGAGTTAGCTGGGAAAACAGTTTTTGAACACAGCTTTTTAGTTTTTAAACATCATTTAATTAGATCTAATTTAGAACAAGATGGAGGACGGAAAGATGCTTTGGTTCCAAATATTTCGGAAATTAGGATAGTTTGGGAATATAATTATGTCAAACGAATTTGTGAATAATCTCAACATTAATCATTATTTCAAATTAAGCAAATATAGCTAGCTTTTGTTGTCATTATATATATCCTTGATGCCTTGATGGTATTCTCCTTTAAAGAACAATTATTTTAAAAAGTGAGATTTTCAAGTTTACTTTTAATTTTACAAACCGTCCATATACCATTAGAAAGATGGCAATTACTGAGAGTGCATGCATGCATGCATGCATCGTACGATTATCAAACTCTTTTTTGAGTTTTGGAAAGCTAGCTAAATTCCTAAAACGTGCTGACATAGCATAATTTATGCACACATATATTGAACGCTCATAAGGGACCGCTCATTATTTATTGTACAGGGGGGGATTGAGGAGAAACTTGGGGGGGGGCTTTAAATTTTTTAAAACCTGAAAGGGGGGCTTTGAAAAAATACAGATAGACGAAAGAAGGGGGCTTTGAAAATATTTACCAATTTGAAAAAAACATCAGTAGTCTTAAAAATGAGTATCACAAAACAACTTAGCAAATAACAATGTTTATAGATTTTAATATGCATAAATGGAAGCCAAATAAAAAGTCTCTTATGTTCATGTAAATAGACAATTCCCATTATAGACTAATTTTAGAACTATAGAACTTTGGTGAAAATAGTGGGGCGGAGGTGAAAAAAATTTTTAGGGCTTATTGTAGAACAGGCCAATATCAACGAGGTGAGGTATGCATGTAGTGTACATATGTACCAAGGTATTAATGAATTATGAATGTATATGACTCCAATCTTGCCCTTCATTACAATTGCTACAAAGGTTCTTTCAAAACATTGCATTAAAAGGGTACTTGACACAGAAATGAATGGCTATCACTGTTTCAATTTTACAGAGAAAACTTTCTTACGTCACGAAGTGTAGATCTCATCCTAAGCAACCATCACATTTTCACTTTGTTCCATCATTGAAACTTTCCCAAGGGGAGGTGCATGACCTTTCAGGAGAGGTCGGGAAAAATTCTCAGGGGGGGGGGGCGCAAAACGATATCAGGGGAGCTGCGCACCTCTCCACACCTCCCCTCGAAATCCGGCCTTGATGCAAATAAATCACCACAGCTAGAAAGAGCATACTAAAATAGGTAAATTATTGCAAAGCTTGGTTGCGAAATGTTGTAAAGTACGGAAAATATAGCCTTACAAAGTTTGCAAATTTTGTATACTTTTGTATTGCATGCGAAAATTGCAAAACAAAAGTATACAAAATTTGCAAACTTTGGAAGGCTATATTTTTACATATTTTACAATATTTCGCAACCAAACTTTGCAATTTTACTAATTTTAGTATGCCCTTCCCGGGAATATACTTTTTTTGCTGAGATAAAAAATTAGTCTATAATGGGAATTGTCTACTTGTCGCCATTATTTACTTTTGTTTCTCTAAATAAAGAACTAGAGTTTTCGTTTCTCTAAATAAAGATAAAGAGCTAGAGGGAGGACCAAAATTTATGTTCTTGTTTTGCCTGTTGGGGCCGGGGCTTTGAAAATTTTAGTTGTCTTAAAAGGGGGGCAACGAAAAAATATTATAACTGTAGAGTTTCTCCTCAGTCTCCCCTTGTACAATAAATAATGAGCAGTCCCTAACTTCAAATAAATTGGAAAATCGTACTACTCGCTTAAACGTCTTATAATTACTCTATGCATGCGAACTTGATAACTGTGTATATTTCACATTTTCTGAACATACAATACTTGTAAGATCAGTACATGTACATAAGATATAGAAAAATTTATTGAGGGTCCATATCAAGGGCGTAGGAAGCATCAAATGATTGGGAGGTGCACCGCTTCCAGTGGCACTTGCAGTGGATAATGAAAAGGACACCTAATACCCTCGAGGGAAGGGAAGAAAAAAAATTCCACTCATATCATATTTCATGCTTCGTCTATACATATGCCCAAATTCGAGTTACTTGCTTAACGTACAATAAACGTTTTTGACGAATTTCTTTTTAAAAGATCGAAATTTCCTATAAAAATCTTTCACTGGATTCACTTATACAAGACGCAGCATAGCATTTATACAACATAACTATAGCTCGTGTAAAAGGGCATTACGTGAATGTGTTCTGGAAACAAAAAGGGCACCTTCGATGTTAATATGGTATTTATAACAACATTAGCTCGTTCAAAAAGCCAGGCACTTTTCATCACAGAAAGGGCATTTTTGATCCTTTGAAAAATTGGGAGGGGGGGGGGGCACGTGCCCCTGTGCCCCCTTGTTCCTACGCCCTTGGTCCATATTAATTGCCATGTGGTCATCTCTCAGATCTGTACCAAATTTGGTGCTTTAAATATGATTTAAAACCCACATGCAACTGTTTCATGAGTCAGTAGTGTTTGTAATGGTGACTTCCAATAATGCTGCAAACAGTCTATATGCATGCTTACCCGTTCTAAAAAGGCGTACCACACATGGGTCTTCGCTGGAGGTGTTTTTGGCATAGCTTGCTGTTAATACAGGAATAATCACGAGGATTATCCAAAATCCCCTCGGTGACATATATATATAACCTTTGAACCAGTTATCCTTAAAAAACAGTGGTAATTAAGTATACGTTAGCATGTAATTGGTTATAATAGCCCCAATATCACCGGCCATGTCACTATATGATTGCGTAATCCGCAATCACCAAATAATTTTGCGGGGCATTTTTTAAACTATTTGACTACTGGTGAATTTACACAAGTGGACCTTGCCTGTGCTTGCCAGAGTAGTAAAGCCAGATTTTAATCATCAAATTAAAAAACTCAACATTTTTGAGAAATCCATACATCTGCATGCAGCTTTCTTACGTTCCCAGTATTTTGGGTGCATGTATTAAAGCATTCCAGTGAAGAATCATTCGCACTAAATCATAAATTTAAAATCTTTTCACTTGAATTGAAAGGCAGGGACAGAGTTCTTATTGGCAGAATTCTTATTTCATGCATGCATGATATTTCCTTTTTCGTTCCAAAATAATCACCGACTATATAAACGTAAGAGTATATTAAAAGTAGCTACTATTTTCCCTCACGTTGACGTTTTGTTTCTTTGCTTGGGATTTGTTAATTGCTATATATAGTGATGGCAGACTTAATGTGCTCGGACAGTTGCATTGTGATTGACTATAATGGGCTTAATTCTGGGCTATATATTATACGATTGAGCAGTTGAATATGGCTATATGTTTACATTGTGTCTGATAGCTTGCTATATAGCGACGAAAAAACCATACCGAATTAATAGGGCTTGTTTTTAATAAGATATCTATGGTTTTTACATGTGAAATGATGTAATCGTATCAATTCTGCAGCCATGCGCCGCCGCTCCCCTCTTCCAAGTGGTGCGTGTTGTGCCGGATTGATTTTTGTAACGCTGTCATTTTTGTAATGCGTCTAACAATGAAACAAAAACTTGCTAGTTTTCTAACCTTCTTTATAGAAGGGCATGTTCATTTTTGGCATATAGAAGGGCATGTTCATTTTTTTGGGATCGACCCAAAAAGGCTGTTGGCTTGGATTCAGTATATAGTATACCGTGTATTGTCTTCCAAACGTCTTTGGATCTTTTAGACGAAAATGCATTCATCATAAACACTCTTTTAAATTTGCTCAGGCTTGGGCTCAGCCCCCCCCCCCAAGTCAACATAAATTTTTAACAAGGGGGGCTCAGCCTCCCTAATCCCTCCCTCCACTACACCACTGGCTCTCCTTAATCACTACGCCACAAGCACCGGCTATCTAGTCGGCACTTCGTTTCTTGTTTGCCTGATTAGAACAAACCAGGTTATAGCCACTTAATGATGGAGCGGCTGCTACACGTCAACAGAAGACGATTTGACAGCGTTTGAAGGGTTTTGGAAATATTTTATTCTTTAATTAACCGATGAGAATAATTAGCTGAAGATTTTGGAAGATCTATACTATATATTAAACTCAATTTCGAAGATAGGGCACTTCAAATTTAGCAATCAGTTAAATTAAAGCTCCAATGTTTGCCTTGTTTTGACTGTCATTTTCGTTCGCCTCTATAGGCCAGTCTCCACTCAGGAAAATTATCCGTGGATTGGAACGGACAAGAAAATTTTTATTTGTCTTGTGAGCTCTGCATGGGTTGGCACTAATGACTTTAAAACAAAGAAAAATATCCTTGCCTGTTCTAATCCACGGATAATTTTCCTGAGTGGAAACTAGCCTTATAAATGGCGGAATGGGCCGCAAAACTCCAATCTGGTTTCAGGGGCGGCGCAAGACCTCTTTGAATGGGGGGGGGGGGCG